AAAGGTCAACGCATGATCCATGCATGATCAGCTTGTGTGCAGCTTGTGCACCATGGGGATAAAAGGCATGCCGTTGTTCCGGTCGGGGTCCTTGCCTGCAAGAGTGGCCACTGCGTTGGTGCTCTGGGGCTTGGACCCTGGCTAGCAAAAAAAAAAAAAAAAAATCAATGACAAAGAGAATCCTGAAAGCAGCAAGAGAAAAGAAGCATATATACAGGAGAGCTCTGATGTATTAAATAACTACCAGCAGATTTCTCAACAGAAACCTTACAGGTCAAGAGAGAATGGGATGACATATTCCATGATATACTATGAACCATTATATACCAAAAAATTGAACAACCTAGAAAAAATGGATAAATTCCTAGAAATATACAACCCACAATACTAAATCATAAAGAGGTAGGAAATCTGAACAGACCAATAATGAGTAAGAAAATTGTATCAGTAATAAAAAGTCTCCCATCAAAGATAAGCTCAAGACCTGATTACTTCACTGCTGAATTCTACCAAATATTTAAAGAAGAGCTAATATCAATCCTTCTCAAACTCTTCTAAAAAACTTAAGAAGAGAGACTACTTCCAAACTTATTTTATGAGGTCAGAATTGCCATGATCCAAGGCCAGACAAGGACACTACAAGAAAAGAAAATTATAAGCCAATATCCCTGATGAACAAGGATGCAAAAATCCTCAAGAAAATACTAGCAAACTGAATTCAACAGCACATTAAAAGGCTCATTCATGATCAAGCGGGATTTGATCATGACATTTCTAGTTATATTCCCTGAGATGCAAAGATGGTTCAACATATGCAAATCAGTAAATGGGATCCACCACATTAACAGAATGCCATATGATCATACGCATAGATGCAGAAAAAGCAACTGACCTAATTCAACACCCTTTCATGATAAAAATTCTCAATAAATTAGGTATATAAGGAATGTAGTAAAGTCCATATATTTCAAGCCCAATTATCACATTCCATGGTGAAAAGTTTAAGCTTTTCTTCTAAGATCAGGAACAAGACAACAATGTCCATTCTTGCTGCTTCTATTCTACATAGTCCTGGAAATCCTGGCCAGAGCAATTAGGCAAGAGGGGAAAAAAAAGGCATCCAAATTGGAAAGTGAGAAGTCAAATCATCTGTTTGCTGATAACATAATCTCATGTATAGAAAACGATAAAGAGCCCACCAAAAAACTGTCAGGACCGATAAATGAATTCAGTAAAGCTGCAAAACACAAACTCAACAAACAAAAATCAGTAGCATTTCTTCATATTAACAATGAATTATCTGAAAATAAATAAATCCTATTCACAATAGAATTTAAAAAATACTTAGGAGTATTTTTAACCAAAGAGGTAAAAGACCTGTATCCTGAACTACAAAACACTGATGAAAGAAAAAGTAGACAACATAAATAAATGGAAAGATGTCCATGTTGATGGACTGGAAGAATATTGTTGTCGCCCTACCCAAAGCAATAACACAGATTCAATGCAATCACTATCAAAATTCCAATGTCATTTATCACAGAAATAGAAAAAACAATCCTAAAATTCATATGGAACTACAAAAGACCCTGAATAGCCAAAGCAATCTTGAGCAAAAAGAAAAAGGCTGGCTGGAATCATCACACTATTGCTTTAAAAAATCTATTATAAAACTATTGTAATCAAAACAGCATGGTACTGGTATAAAAACAGATACACTAAGCAATAGAACAGAATAGAGAGCCCAGAAATAAACCCACATATTTATGGTCAACTGATTTTTGACAAAAGTGCCAAGAATACACAATGGGAGATAGGACAGTCTTCAATAAATAATTCTGAGGAAACTTGTTAACCACATCCAGAAGAATGAAATTAGACCCTTATCTCACACCATACAAAATAATCAACTAAATGTGGATTAAAGACTTAAATGTAAAACCTGAAACTGTAAAACTACTAGAAGAAAACATAGAGGAAATGCTCCATAACATTGGTCTGAGCAAAGATTTCTTGTATATTATCCCAAAGCACAGGCAGTAAAAGCCAAAAAAAGGCGGGGGGGGGGGCAGATTACATCAAACTAAAAAGCTTCTGCACAGCAAAGGACACAATAAAGACATAAATATGTGCAAAGTATATATCTGATAAAGGGCTAATATTCAAAATATATAAGGAATTCAAACAACTCAATAGTAAGAAAATAAAGAACCCAATCTAAAACTGGCAAAAGACCTAAATAGACATGACACTACACTAAAGAAGATATACAAATAGCCAAGAGGTACATGATAAAATGGTCATCATCATTAATCATCAGGGAAATACAGTATAAAACCACAATGAGGTATCAAAACACACCTGTTGGAATGTGTACTATCAAAAAGATAAAAGATAACTGTTGGTGAGGTTCTAACAAAAAGGGAAACTTTATACACTCTTGGTGGAAATAAATTAATACAGCCATTATGGACAACAGTATGCAGGTTTCTCAGAAAACTAAAAACAGAACTATCATATGATCTAACAATCCCACTTCTGGCCCATGTTCACTGTAGCATTATTCACAATAGCTAAGATTTGGAAGCAACCTAGGTGTGCATCATCAGATGAATGGATATAGAAAATATAGTATTCACCCTTAATAAAGAAGGAAATTCTTCCTTTGTGACAGCATGGATGAACATTATGCTAAGTCAAATAAACAAGGCACACAAAGACAAATACCACATGATCTCCCTTATATGTGGAATCTAAAAAAGTAGAACTCATAATAGTCAGGGTAGAACGGTGGTTACCAGAGGCTGGAGGAGGGCGGTGAATGGGAAAAGGGGAGTACATTGATCAAAGGGTACAAAATTTCATTTAGAGAGAGGGAATAAGCTTTAGTAATCTATTGCATACAATGGTGACTATAGTAAATAAAATAAAAATGCATTTTATTTTTCAAAAAAGTTTTTAAAGCTTTCCAGGCATGCAAAAAAGCAGTAAATTACAACTCATAATGAGGAGAAAAATCAATTCATAATGAGGAAAAAATAGAAATAGACACAGAAATGACACAGATGATATATTTATCAAAAAAGCCATTAAAAACTGCTATTATAAATATACTCTATATGTGCAAACTATAGAACAAAGTATGATCATGTTAAGGAAAGACATGGACAGTATAAAAAAAGACTTATGTCAGACCTCTAGAAATGAAAAATATATTATCTGAGATGATAAATACACTGGATAGTATTAATAGCACTTTAGATACTGCAGGGGGAAAAGGTTATTAAACTTGAAGATGTAACAAAAGAAATCACTCAAAATGAAAACGAGAGGGGAAAAAATGAATATAGCATAAATGAGGCTTGACACAACATCAAGTAGCCTAATTAATATATATGTAATTAGAGTCCCAGGAGGAAAGGAAAAAGGGAGTCAGAAAAAAAAAATTAAGAAATAAAAAAGCCAAAAATTTCCCAAATGTGATAACAACTATAAACTCACATGTACAGAGTTAACACAATCAGCCTGAGATGGCTATCCTTAGAAAACCCTGCTTCCAAGGTTGGTCCTTACCTAGCTTCTAGAAGCTCAGATTTCAAGAGAGTTTCTCCATCATTCCTTGAATGATAAGGGTGCCTCACTGTGCCTAAACATGCAAACAATATGGTTTACCTGAAGTCTGGAATTTGGGCATATGCTAGACAGAGGGTGCCTACATTACCAGTCCCTGGGCACTGAGTCTAGTAAGTTCCTCTAACAGTCAACACTTTACACATGTTGTCAAAACTCTGCTGGAGGAATTATGCACATCCTTTGTGACACCACTGGGAGAGGACTCATGAAAGACTGCTGATTTAGATTTGTATCCTTTCACTGTAATAATGACTATGAGCCATGACTATGACTATATGCTAAGTCCTGAGTATTTGCCTAGTGAATTACTAAACCTGGAGGTGCTCTTGGGATCCTCAAAAACACCACAGATTCAAGAAGCTTGACAAACACCCAGCAGGAAACCATACCAAAACATAGTATGATAAAATTGCTTAAAATCAGTAATAAAGAGAAAACCTTAAAATATCAAGGATGAGAATAGCTTAAGGCTTATATAGATAGCAACTCTTGGGCTAAGACAATGAAGCAATGCCTTTAAAACTCCGAAGGAAAATTATTTCCAATCTAAAATTCTAAATAAATTTTTAATCACATAACAAAGTATGATAAAAGTATCTATACACATACCAAGTCTCAAAAAATTATGTTTCATTAATCATTTCTTAAGAAGCTACTGGAAGATGTGTTCAACCAGAACAAGTGTGAAAAGCACGAAAGAGGCAAACATGAAATCCAGGATAAAGAAGCTCCATGCAGGAGAAAGAGTTGAACAAATTTTCAGAATGATAATGAAGTGAGACCCAGGGTGACAACGTCCACAAAGCAGAGAGGACGCCGAGTTCAAACTAAAGCAGCTAGGAGGCTGTAGAAAAGAGTTCTCCAAGAAATGAAACAGAAAGAAGGCCTATTATGTCTGAAATCTTACCAAGAGAGCTAGACAATAACGAACAATTATTTTATTACTGGTAAGTAAAACTAGGTGAATAAAAATGGAAACAATTATTAAATCCAGGGAAAACAAAAAGTTGTGAAAGAAAAATAATAATAAATATTTGTCCTGGCTATCAATATTATTTATTCAAAATAATGTAAATGTTGAATATAATCTAACCGAACTTTGTTATATTTGTACTAGCAGAATGGAAGGATAGAAAATTTCAGTGTGTAATTGGGGGTGGGGAGTGGGTAAGAAGAGAGCTCAATATTTATCCATGTTTAGATATACAGCACAAGCATGGCATTTAGACATACCACGGTAAACAACAAAAGAATCCACTAAGATGCAAAAGTGGTTGTTCATTGGGAGAGAAGGGGAAAAAATACCAAAAGACTGTGACTAACAAATCTTATAAAGAGAATAAATTTTTGAAATAATTCGTTCTTACCTTGGGAAGCTCAGGCAGCCTCTCGTCACTTGTCGAAGAATGACTACTCGCACAAGAAGCGCAGTCTGAGATGTCCACAGCACCCTCACCATCTTCACATTCATTACGGTCACTACCATCTTCCCTGTCACTGTCGATCTCCCAGTCGATAAACTGTAATCCATCTAAAAAATGTAATTTTTATTAATAACAAGTATAATTTTATATCTCCTTAATATTTCACTTTTAAATCTTTTTTTTATTCTCAGTGGTTAATATATCCATGTCACTGAATAACTGCTAAAAATACATTAGGACAAGCAAAAGCATACTTCTATACTTATCTGTAGTCTCCTTGTTCCTCCCATTTCTTACCCCCACTCTAATTCTAAGTTAACTACTCTTATTAGTTATTTTTGTATCCTTGCAGAGTTTCACCAACATGTTTAAGCAAATAAAATATATATTATCTTGTCCTCCTTTCTTACATACCTTTTTTCACTTAACATAATTATGAAGTTTTACCATAACAGTAAGGAGTATCCTCATTATTTTCTACAACAAAGTATTCTATCTATTCGATAGCTGGACATAGTTTATTTAACTAGTCTTCTATTAGAAAATTATTTTTTCATATATTTTCACCCAATAATTTTTTCTGTAGATGTCTTTCATCAGTAAGTAAAGAACTAAATTCGATTTTTAAGTTTATACCATAAGCATTGTTATCTAGATGCTACTTTTGCAAAATTTTAAGTCTGAATGTTAACATATTTTCAAATACTAAATAATCCAATGTAATAATTCTAATCTGCTATACTTAAAAAAATAACAGTAGTTATTAAAGATAAATTTGTCTCTGAGGTATGGCCTGTAATGTAAACCTTTTCTACAGCACAAAGCACAAGTACTTCTTAGGAGCTACTTTGGCAACTCAGAAAGCTAATAAGATACTGGTCCTATTTTAGAGGTCTGTTAACAACAGTCTCATTTCCAGGGAAGTAATACTAAAAATTAAAAACATGCTCTAATACCTGAAAAGAATTTAAAATTTAAAAAACAGAAAAAAATTAAGCTAAAGTTAAAAGTATGGGATAAAATAAACAAAAAAATTATTTAATGTGATGTTATTGTTCTAGAAAACGCAATAAAAGTCCACAACAATGATTATAAAAAACTAGAGGTCAGACCACCACTGAGAGAAGAAGATGCATAATGGCAATCACTCCCCACACTAAAACACTGTTTATTCAGTCAGGGAAGCCAGGCAGGGGTAAATATAAGAGATTCTTCAAGTCTGTGAACCATCACAGCAGGAAGCCTTGGAGAGCCAAAGGAAGAGCACAAGTGCCCTTAGAGCTGCTGCAAGCATCCCACATTTGTGCAGCACTCTTCATTCATTCACTCGTTCATTCAATAAAGTGAGTGTCTACTAAGGGCCCATCACACCATTCTAGATACTCACAATACCAAAGTAAACAAATATAAGAGAGGAAACAGCACCATTCCTACTGTGGATGAATAACATACCGCAATGTGATGAGAGCTATATACCTGGGTCACAATTATTTTATGAAGCAGGAAGACAGTTATTAGACTTAAATTTGCATTTTACAGATGAGGAAATTGAGTCTCCAATAAGCAATGTTCTCAAAGTTATAAGAAAACCAAATGGAAAGGAAAACATTTTTAAGAGAAAAATATTTTCACAATTTTAACTCAGGGCTCTTCCTTCTCAACCCCAATTCTAGACCTTAAAACCCAGAGACCATAATCCAGCTGCAAGAGGATCTAGGAATATTAGTTTTAGAGCTCACCAGGTAATTCTGATATGAAGCCAGGTTTAGTAACCACCAGAACAGTGTTGAAGCACACAGCATTGAAGTTAGACAACCCTGGCTCTAAATATCAACTGACACACTTATTAATTATGTGACTCTGGGCAAGTCACTTCACTTCTCCAAGTCCCACGTTTCTTCTGTAAAATAAGGATACTTCTTAGCTCACAGGATATGGTAGAATGCAAAGAAGATGACATATATAATATGCAGCCAAGTGTCTGAGACAAACAAAACTTGATAAATGGTAATGGTTGTTATCCAGTAAAGGTTAAAAGGAAGGAAGAAGTGTGGAAGGGAGGGAAGGGAGAAAGCCAAGAAGGAGGACAGAGAGATAAACCAGCAGCTATTCACAGCTCTATATATACCCCAAGGAATCATGCTCAACTTCTTAAGAGAAGTCAACAATATATTAACTCATTTTAAAGTGATTAGACAAAATCATCTTTCCACTCTTAAACAGAGTTTGGAAACTACTGAATATCTCTTTTTACTGAAAAGAACAAACTCAATTTAAATTTTTTTTTTTTTTTCAGAAATAGGGTCTTGCTGTCACCCAGGCTAGAGTGCAGTGCTATGATTATAGCTCACTGCAGCCTCAAACTCCTGGGCTCAAATCATACCCCTGCCTCAGCCTCCCAAGAAATTGGGATTACAGGCATGTGCCACTGCACCTGGCTGATTTTTTTATTTAATATTTTTTTGTAGAGACAAAGTCCCACTATGTTGCCCAGGGTGGTCTCGAACTCCTGGCCTCACATGATCCTCCTATCTCACCCTCCCAAAAGTTAATTTATTTTACTACCAGCTTTACTGGGATATAATTCACAAGCCATATTATTTACTCATAAAAAGTATAGTTTTTAATATTGAAACTATATTCTGAAATTTATCATGACAAATCAAGTTATAATAAATTTCAATAAATTTGAAATAAACAATAAATTTCATTTAATACGGATGAATTAATAATACAAGTACTATTAGCTTATGTATAATCTTAAAATATCACTTGGTCTGGTAAAATGTCAATGGTAGTTACCAAAATGACTTACAAAGTGGCCAAAAGAATTTAACCACCTTCCAGAGAATGGGAGTCTGTAAAGAGAGGCAGTCTGTACAAACCTAACCTTGACTATGTAACTAACATGAACTGACAGAGTTAAAAGTCACAAGGTTATTTTAAAAGCATTAAGACTTTTAAATATACTAGCTATACTACTTTTAAATATACTAGTTATACATCAGTCTAGATGAGCTATACACGTTAAAATTTGTAAAAGGACATGATTTCCATAATTCTAGGTCTGTGGTTATCAACTGGAGGTGATTTTGTCCTTTAGGGGCCCTTGACAATATCTATTGACATTTTTTGTTGTCACAGCTGAGTTACAGGTGCTGCTGTGATCTAGTGGGTGGAAGCCAGGAATACTGCAAAACACCCTGCAATTTCCAGGAATGTGCTTTTCCCTGGAGCAAAGAATTATCTGGCCCAAAGTGTCAATGATGCCAAGGTTGAGAAACCCTATTTTAAACTAAGACATGATACAATATAAAATGCCATCAGAACAGAAACTTGTTAGTAAGTTATACTTCTAGCACACATTGGTTTCTATAGTGTTTACCCAATGAACAGGTTAGCAAGGAGGTAGAATGGATATAGCATTATGTAGGAGTTGAAAAGACTGGCTTTGGAGTCAGAGACAAAATGAAATTCCAAACAATTCTAACAGGTCCAAGCTTATGTTATTAACTATAAAAAAAAAAATCAATAATACCTAGATCTCTCAGAGTTGTTATAGGAAATATGAAATAAGAAAATGTTTCTAAAGGGCTTAACATACAGGCTTGGACTCAGTAAAATCATAATTAATGATAAATATTAGAAAGGAATGTCAGTTTCTTCCAATATTAAATCCAATATTTAAAAGAAAATGTATTTCTTACAAAATTATCAATTTACCTTCACTGGCCCCATCTTCTGGACATAAAATATTCTTGTTACAAAATCTGCCTATTCTGGGGCCATGTTCATTATCTCTCTGTGATTTAGAAAGTGTCTTATCATCATCTGACAAATCACTTCCACTGGAACTCCATGTTATATTTGTAAGCCCACTGGTAGATGTGGTAGTTTCTGTTAAAAAAAAAAAAAAAAAGAAAGAAAGAAAAAAAAACACATAAATACGATCAACTAATATGGTCACCTATCAGAATAAGATTTTATGCATGCTACTTTGCCTAAGTCACAAATACACAAAACTCCATGATAATAAGAGCAATGTCTTATGTCAAATCTTCCTGCCTAAAGTTCTATATACAGTCTAAGATTCTTTGAATTACAGCCAAATTACAAAAAGAAAAAGTAGAACTGGTTGAGAAAAGTTACACGAGACAAGAAAAATGACTGGAGCACAAAGGAAAACTGGAAAAATAAGACTTGAGGTAACAATTATAGAACTGTAACTTCCTAGAATATTCGATGAAACTGAAAAAAAAAAGACCCACACAAAACACAAAGCAAACTACAAACCAAAACTTATGAATAACAGGAATGCTTCTGTGTGCTTCCTTTGCCATGCTAAGATCCCTGGTAGCAGCACTGTGTTTAAAATATTTAACAGCAAACTTAGTATTTAAACAAACTTTTTATTTTGAGATAATAATAGATTCACATATAGAAATAATAGAGCCCTTGTATCTTTCACCCAGTTCCTCTAATTGTAACATCTGGCAAAACTGTACTGTGTCATCACAACCAGGATACTGACACTGATCCAGTCAAGACACAGAACAACTCTATCACCACAGGATGCCTCCTATTACCTTTCCACAGCCATACTACCTCTTGCCCCTGCACCAATCCCTGACCCCTGTTACCCACCAATTAGTTTTGAATTTCTATAATTCTGTCATTTCAAGAATGTTATATAAAAGGATTCATACTATGAACCTTTTAGGATTGGCTTTTTTCACTCAGCATAATTTCCTGTGCATTCATCCAAATTGTTATATACATCAACAATTACTTTCCTTTTATTATTAAATAAAATATTTCATGGTATGGATGCACAATAGTTTGTTTAATCATTCACCGGCTGAAGGATATCTGTTTCTAATTTGGCACTATTATGAATTACGCTGCTTATGAATACCCATGTATAGGATTGTATGTGAATTTAATTTTCATTCTCTGGGATAAATGTCAAAAGGTACAAATGCTGGACTGTATGATAACTGCATGTTTAGCATTATAAGAAACTTCTGAACCATTTTCCAGTATAGCTGTACCAGTTTACAGTCTGCCAGCACTGTACTAGTGATCTAGTCTCTCCACAGCCTCACCAGTATTTGCTGTTACCACTGTTCTGTATTTTAGCAACTCTGATAGGCAGAAGACGTAGAAGGAATAGGGCTACTTCATCTTGGAAGAACCAGAAGTCAATAGCAACTTTTTCTGATATTGATAAGAAAAGAAATACATACCTAATAAAAATAGTTTTGCATGTATTCATAATTGTAGCTATAATGCTAAACTAAATATATACACACATATATTTAATATCCTATCCACTTATTTTATATGGTATGGTATTTGACAAGTTTCAAAGCACATTTCAATATACTATGAGACTAAGAGATGAGATGTTTATAATTCATGTTTTATAAAAGAGAAAACTTATGCTTGCAATTTAAATGGCTTCATTCAATATATACAGAACCCCTCTCATACAATAAACCATGAGGAAACAAAGAAAATAAAAACTCCTCTCCACAGGGAAAATATGGTCTGAACAGAAATACTAATCATGAAAAGAAAAATAAAACATTATAATAAAGATATGTCATGGCACAATGGTGGCATAAAAAATATTGAATGTTCTACTTTGTACTTATCAGGAAAGGAGAATTCACTGACAAGATGATGTCTGGGAAAGCAGTACTTACAAAGGCACAAAAACATGGAATAATCAACATTTACTGAATACTTACTTTGTGCCATGAACATCTAAAATCACTGAAGTGGCCTATCCTTCAAATTATCAAAGGAAACAAAAAGCTCCTCAGAATAACCTAAGACTCCATATCAAACAGCTAATAAAGCTAAGCTGTGCTCTTCCTTGCAAAAGATACTGTCAATCTCTTTCATTATTATGAATCTTAAAAAATAAGTCAAAAAGAAGTTATTACTGTTCACAAATTATAAATGAATTCATGGAAAACTCAAAAAAAAAAAAAAAAACCTGAAAAACTACTACTAATAATAAGAAACTCCAGTAAAGATAGCAAGTTACAAAACACTATAAAAAGTCAAATTTAAAACAGTAGCAAAAAAAGATAAAATACCTCAAAGAAACATAAAAGACATGTAAAACCTAAACAAGAAAACTTTTAAAAGACTTCAGAAAAACATAAAAGCAGTCTTGAACAAATGGAAAGACATATACTTAAATCTCTAATGATCTGATCAGAGAATAATGGTCTCTCAGTGTAGCTTCAATGTGCATTTTTCCTATTACAGGTGAAGATGAGCATCTTCTCATATGTTTGAAAATCGTTTTTATTTGCTTTTCTATAAACAGTTCATTCATATTATTTTTTTTCCTTTTTCCCTGAAGAATTCTACACCAAGGATCATAATCTCACAATCTTTATTTTTGTAATAGTTATCTTTTTTCCCCTAGATTAACTTCTAATGGTTATTAGAAAGATTGGCCTTTGTGGTATGTGTTACAAATATTTTCCCCACTTTTTCTAAAGTTTTAAATTGTGAGGATATGTATGTAATTTTTAAAAAAAATTATTTTAGAGACAAGGTCTGGCTATATTGCCCTGGTTGGAATGCAGTGGCTATTCACAGATGAGATCATAGCACACTGCAGCCTAGAACTCCAGACCTCAAGCAATCCTCCCACCTCCACCTCCCAAGTAACTGGGACTATAGGCGTACACCGTGCTTGACTTATATGTGTCGTTTTGGCCAAGCAGTTTTTCTCTTTTTATTTAGGTGAATTTGTCAGCTTTTACCCTATGGCTTCCGGTTTGTGAATCACTGTTAGAAAGGATTTCCCAATTGCAATGCTTCCTTTTGACCAGGAGCTGTGGTGAGATGTATGCCCAGTTTAGCTTCTGAGTCCCTGTTCTTAACCACTATGCAAAGCTCCCAAGGCAGACAGACTTGTAGTCTCTCTCCCCATTAGTTTAGTGTGAGACACTAAGAAAATACGTAACTGTCTGGTGCTCTTGTACCATCTATTAAAAGGGATAGGATAATTAACAGTTATGACATTCAAATTCTCAGAGACCAGGACTCTAGATTTATAAACACATGAACTAAAGGCACTTAACTGCACGACTCAGTTAAAACCACAACCAGGAATTTATTAGTAATTCATTCTATTTACTGAAAAGAGGATGTCCTTGAGACCAAGGCTCATTCCAATGGAATTCTAGGAAAGCTATCAGCCAGACCATGAAAACAGTTAACATGCATTTATAAACATTTCTGGGTATCCACTGTGTGCCAGGTACTGTGCTAGGACCTGGTGCTATGAATTGAATTGTTTCTCCCCAAAATTCATTTGTTGAAGTGCTAACCCCTTATACCTCAGAATGTCACTTTCTTTGGAGACAAGGTCTTTACAAGAGTAATCTAAAGTAAGGTCATTAAGGTGGGTCCTAATCCAAGATGACTGGTGTCCTTATGAGAAGGGGAAATTTGAACACACAGAGACAGACACACAGAGAGAGAAGACAATGACAAGACACACAGGGAGAAGGCAGCCATCTATAAGCTACGGAGAGGCCTGGAAAAGAACCTTTCCTCACAGCCCTCAAAAGGAACCACGCCTACCAACACCTTCACTTCTGGCCTCCAGAACTGTGAGGTAGTCAATTTCTGTTGATCAAGCCACCCAGTTTGTAGTACTTTATTACAGCAGCCCTTGGAAACTAATACAGCTGAGAACAAAGATGAGCAGAGCAACACAGGGATCTTCCCTTAAGAAGCAAGTGGTCCATCGAGAAAAAAGCTGGTCAACAAACAATCATAAAAAATTTAGTAATGCTTTTAAGGGGCAAGAGTTTTCTGACCTCAATCGATAAAGACTTTGAGAAAATATTTTGTACAATATTTCAGGAAAAAAAATTAAACATGAATTCCATTTTTTTCCTTTCATTTTGCTTGGTAAACCCCCTTTAAAAAAATAAAATAAAACTTCTGCCTTTTAATAAGAATCAATACCTACAAAGAGTACAGACTTTTTTCATTTTAAGTTTTTATCTTCCTTCTCCCTTGAATTTTCTGCAAGATCCTCTGCCAAGCTGGGCACAGTAGCGTGAACCGTAATCCCAGCTATTTGGGAGGACAAGGCAGGAGGATTACTTGAGGCCAGGAATTGAGACCAGCCTGGGCAACAAAGCAAGACTCAGTCTCTACAAAAATTTGTTTTAGAAAATTAGTGGGGCATGGTGGTGCACACATATAATCCAAGCTATTGAAGAAGCTGGGCAGGAGGACTGCTTGAGCCCAAAAGTTCAAGGCTGCAGTGAACTATGATCACACCACTGCACTCCAGCCTGAGCAACACAGAGAGACTCTGTCTCTAAAAAAAAATACAAGTAAAAAACAGTAAATTGACAAAAAAATCTTTGCCAACATTCATTTTCTCACTTCTCTTACCCCCTTCCTCTCTCTTTCATCCCTCTTTCAGTTTTCTCTGTTCTCAATGCCTTACATATGAGAGAATAGATATAGACACAAGTCTCTGACCTTATGTACACTTTACAAAAGTATTTTCTCCACTTTTGCTTCCCAGCTTTCATATTAATAAAAATATTATTTCCTCACCCTAAATGTGGTATAAAATTTTTCCGTTATAATTTTTATTAATAGGTTGTCTTAAACTAATATTTTAGAAGGTACTGTTTTTAAAAAAAACATTCTAGGAAATGCCTCGAGTCCCTTTTTCTACCTATCTCTATTATAAATAGCAAGATTTTATTAAATTATTAACAATTCTTTCTTGTCTTAACAAGGGCATATGCAATAAATAATTATACATTAATAAAAGTTCTTTTAGCCTTTCAGAATATATATTGATCATTCTATAGCACAGAAAATATAGCAGAGTGGGTTGAATATATACTGTCATGGGAAAAATCACCCCAAAAGAGCATTATGTAATTAATACAAGGTAGCAATTTACTTAATATTTCTTTTTCTCTCACAGTTGAATTTGCTACACTTATTTAAAATCTCAAGAGATATAAGCTACATCTGTTTAAACAAAAATACTTTTCTCCATATATTATGAAGTTTCAAAAATCAGAATTAAATTGATCTTTGAGTATCACAGCACTTGGCACTAATAAGAAAAGTAAAATTCTACAGTTTCATCAGAAGATTATAGTATTATAAAACAGTGTATGCCAGTTTATTTTATAATACATCATTTTATGAATTTTAAAGAAACATTTTGGGAAATTTTACTTTTTCATTTGCATAGAAAAGAATCCACTTAAATGTTAGTGAAATAAATAGTATGGTCTTAATGTTTAGTCTCTAGTCACAGAAGTCATTCTGCTATAGAACTCCGAGCAGGCTCTCACATAGCTTTCTGCCATCAGACATAACAGCAATTGCTGCTATCAATGAAGCACCTAAGGAAAGCCTTTCAACTAGGCATTTTGTCTACTATTTTTTTTGGCTCACTTAATACTCACAAGAACTCAATGGTCACACATTACTGTGCTCATTTTCCAGATGCAAAAACCAAGGCTCAGAGTGTTCAGCTTGTTTTCCCAAGATTACAGTCAGGACACAGCAAGATCCCTAAAGCCCCAAGCCCCCACTCTTCCACCCACCCCCAGGGGAGCTGACTGCCTGTGGCAGCAGAGCTAGTGGCCTATCTGATGTCCATCCCCTCTTCTTCATTACTATTATAATAATCCAAATTTGTTTAAGCAGCAACATATCTATATAAAAATCCTTAATTTCACTAAAGTGTCTTTAGTGTAGGTGTCCCTATGTAACAAGTTCCAGCCAAAGGTAGAGATACTGGGGAGAGCACTCCTCCCCAAAGGAAAGGCAAAGTACACTTGGCAAAATCCTCAGCACCTATACTCCTGCCCAGAATCCAGCCTGGAAGACTAAGCAACCACCTCACCACCATGAGAACCAACCCCATGTGAAGGCTGTGGAACTCAGAATCTGAGTCTAGCCCTTTCGATGTCTTGTTGCAAGAGACAAATTCAACCCCATTTGTTCAAACACTGGAGTGTTTGAACAGAGTTTCCTGTAGCTTATAGCTTCAAAGTCTTCCCTAACTAATTAACCATGAAAGAATTTCACAGTCTGAAGCAGTACAATTCTTATAGCATAAATCATGTTTATTTCCCAAATCATATTATTTAAAAAAAACAAACCCCTGGAGCTATAAGCATGAGCTAACCTACTGGCTCTGCAAGAAAAAAGGACAAAGAACACACACAAAAAAATGTTAATAATTACCTGTAGGGAGCAGGAAGAATGGGGTAGATGATAATAGAGATGAGAGTTCTCAAAAATATCTTTTTACATTGTTTTGATGTTTTTTAACCATGTATATACAAGTTACCCAAACTATGTAAGTAACTTTTAAAAAGAAAGTAAAAAAAAAAAAAAAAAAAAAAGCCGGGCGCTGTGGCTCACGCCTGTAATCCTAGCTCTTGGGAGGCCGAGGCGGGCGGATTGCTCAAGGTCAGGAGTTCAAAACCAGCCTGAGCAAGAGCGAGACCCGTCTCTACTATAAATAGAAAGAAATTAATTGGCCAACTGATATATATATATAAATTAGCCGGCATGTGGCGCATGCCTGTAGTCCCAAGCTACTCGGGAGGCTGAGGCAGAAGATCACTCAAGCCCAGGAGTTTGAGGTTGCTGTGAGCTAGGCTGACGCCACGGCACTCACTCTAGCCTGGACAACAAAGTGAGACTCTGTCTCAAAAAAAAAAAAAAAAAACAAAAAAAAATCACATGGGCATATATTACTACCTTTATACTTTCTCTGTTAAGAAACCAACAAAATAATATTACCTTTCTTGGGTCTAGGGGATAATTCAAGATGCTTTTCTGTAACAGTCTTCTTTTCAGCTGTTAATGACTGTTGGAAAAATGATAATAATGTAAGTCATATAACAAATGTTAAAAACCAACCATATTTTATAAAATATTTAAAATATTAAACTATATCCTGCTTAACATATTCCTCTCGATTTCCTTTACTTATATTCACCAATTTCAGTACTCCTGAAGTACAATTTCAGCACTCCTTACATACTTATAAATTTATATTTATATGTTTCCAGAATCTAAACAAAGATCTGACTGATCAAAATGTTTTGCATTAACATTCAATATCAATACTTGTTCATATATACAACTCTGACCACCTATGAGGTCCTCAGTACTACCTGTATCTAAATTATCTTTAGAGTTTACAACAGCATTCTTCCATTCCTCTATAGTGTAAGTTACCAAACATACAAAAATTAACCAGAATATTTCATTGTCAAAAGATTCTGAACATACAGGAATACCTCATTTCATTGTGCTCCACTTTATTATATGTTGCATATATAGTGTTTTTCACAAATTAAAGATGTGTGGTGACCTTGTGTCAAGCAAGTCTATAGGAGCCATTTTTCCAACAGCATGCACTCACCTTATGTCTCTGTGTCACATTTTGGTAATTCTCCCAATATTTCAAACTTTATCATTATTATTGTATCTGTTATAGTGATCTGTGATCCTTTGATGTTACTAGTGTAACTGATTTGGGATGGCACTAATCACACCAACATAATTTAATCAGCAAATGTTGTCTGTGTTCTGACTGTTCCACTGACCAGATGTTTCCCCATCTCCCCCTCCTCAGGCCTTCCTATTCCCTGAGATACGACAATATTGAAATTAGGCCAATCAATAACCCTACAATGGCCTCTAAGTGCTCTAGAGAAAAGAATAGTCACACATCTCTCATAATAAATCAAAAGCTAGAAAAGATTAAGCTTTGTGAGGAAGGCATGTCAAAAGTCAAGACAGGCCAAAAGTTAAGCCTCTTGCTCCAAAAAATTTAAAAATCAGCCAGGAATGATGGCATATGCCTATAGTCCTAGCTACTCAGGAGGCTGAGGCAAGAGGATTGCTTGATCCCAGGGATTCAAGGCTGTAGTGAGCTATGATCATGCCACTTTAGCCCAGGGCAATAGAGGAAGACCCTGTCTCTTAAAACAAAAAGACAAAAATAAAACAAAGAAATAAAACAAAATATCTGGAAAGGATTCACCATTCTAGATGTCATTAAGAACACTCATTATTCTTGAAAGGAGATCAAAACATGAACATTAATAAGAATTTAGAAGTTGATTCTAACTCTCATGGATGACTTTGAAGAGTTTAAGACTTCAGTGGAGAAAGTAACCGAAGATGTGGTGGAAATAGCAAGAGAATTTGAATTAGAAGTGGAACGTGAAGATGTGAATGGATTGCTGCAATCTCAAAATAAAACTTGCATGGTGAGTAGTTGCTTCTTATGGATGAGCGAAGAAAGTAGTTTCTTGAAATATTATACAATCTACTCCTGGTGAAGATGCTGTGTACATTACTGAAATGAAAACAAAGAATTTAGAATATTACATAAACATAGTTGATAAAGCAGTGGCAGGATTTGAGAGGATTGAGTCTAATTTTGAAAGAAATTCTATTGTGGGTAAAATGCTATCGAACAACATCACATTCTACAGAGAAACCTTTCCTAAAAGGAAGAGTCTATCTATGCAGCACACTTCACTGTTGCCTTATTTTAAGAAATTGCCACAGCCACCCAAACCTTCAGCACTCACTTCCTTGATCAGTCAACAGTCATCAGCATCTAGGCAAAACCTTCCGCCCAGCAAAAAGATTACAATGCTCTGAAAGCTCAGATGATTGTTAGCATTTTTTAGCAATAAAGTATTTTTTAATTAAGGTATGTACATTTTTATACATAATACTATTGCACATTTAATAGACTATAGTACAGTATAAATATAACTTATCTATGTATTGGGAAACCACAATATTTATGTAACTAACTTTATTGTAATATTTGCATTATTGCAAGGGTCTAAACCAGGGATCCTCAAACTTTTTAAACAGGGAGCCAGTTCACTGTCCCTCAGACCGTTGGAGGGCCACTGGAGAGTGTGGCGCACATTCCACACATGCGCACTGTGGGCCCAGGAAGAGTCGGCTGCTAAGCAGGATAGGCAGCGGCACCAAAAACACACGACAGGCAGGATAAATGTCCCTGGCAGTACGCATGTGAGTGCGGGCTGTAGTTTGAGGACCCCGGGTAAAACCTCAGTATCTCCAAAGTAGGCTTGGATAAACATTTCATAAACAACACTCCGTTCTATGGATTAATGAAGATGGAGGACAAGAAACACCGCCAGACAGACTGTCTCTGAATAAAAGACAGATTCTAGGAGAAATTAGAGGAAAGAAGCAAGAAGATGAGCATACATCGGATGAGGGTCAGAAGGGGGGGTACCTGAGACCACGGGACACTCCATGGGAGGAGAGTGCGGAGGAGAACTGGAAGCAGAGACCTCCCGAGCAGCCTGGAGACCAGCGGCAAGGGTAGTTGAAGCGATTAACTCTCCCCTGCCTTGCATCTGGGACTGCTGGTGGGCTCCACAGCGGGTGGAGAGACCTGCAGACACCAGCCCAGAGATGGCCACTGCCAGCGAGCGGTAGGCCTGTAGCAGACGCGGCACCCGGCTCCCAACTCCCGCAGGGCACCTCCTTGTGCACAGACCCAAGCCGGGCGGCAGGCGCCATATTGCCTCCTTCTCCCCTCCCTTATCCCCATCCACGGCTGCCAAGAAAAACAATATAGCCACCAGCTGAAGGCACCTCCACGGAATGGGACCTTCCCTTTCGGGGCCCTACAGCTCACTAAGGGGAACTCAGATGGTGAGCTCCCTACCCACCAGCCCTCCCAAGTGCTGCTGGCCCAGTGATCCCAGGAGAACGGAGCAGACCTTGAGGCTGAGAGACAATAGAACCAGCATGGACTCCCCATGGGTGAATTGGGACTGGCACTCCTCTCCCTGGTGGGGATAGAGATTGAACTCTGGGGCCCAGAGGTCAGACCTGCAGACCAGATCCCATGCACCCAGGTCTCGCATTGCCCGTGGCACAGAAGGGATATATGTGAACGGCCTACTGAGGTGTGTGTGTCTTCAGGGGCAGATCAGCATCCTGGAGGGCAACCCTCCTCCCAAAGAGGGGCCATGCGCCCAGCCCAGGTGGTGTTCCTGCACAGGGAACCTCCTAGCCGGCATCACAGCCAGGAGAAGCCCGGTGGCATGAGGTCTGGCCTGCTGCCAGAGGCCAAGGAGTGCCGAGGAGTCTGGGAGAGTGTAAAGAAGCGAGGCCCGCTCCAGACTGCGGGTCTCAAGACAGCCCCACCCCCACACACAGACTCTCTGACTGAGCAGGGCCATTACAGCCCCTCACTGACAGCTTTTCCTGGAAGCAGAGAACAGAACTTTGACCCCTGCTAATGACATTCATTGGTGGTGCCTGAGGGCAGGCTTGCCCAACCCAGCTCCACCCAGACTCTCTCCTAGACCAGCCCTCACTGAGGGGGAGAAAAGGACACACTTGGAAGTCCCAGGGCCCCACCGACGATCTGAGGCACTAGAGTGCCTCTCTAGAGGAAAAAGAGCCGGTCACAGGACACAAAAACAACAGCATAGCCAGTTCCTCCAAGCAAGCGCCACCTACTGACAGGAAGGGCATCCTGCACACCCTTTTCATCATATAGGTGTGGTCGAATCTCACCCAAAAACACCACCTACCGGTTCAGACACTAAACAAGGTGTATCAATACCCACACAAAAATCTAAAGGAAAGAAGCAACAACTGATTGAGATGGGAAGAAATCAGCGAAGGAACTCCAGAAATATGAAGACCCAAACAGAAACCACACCCCAAAAAGGAGCACAAGCCCCATACAAATGGATATCAACCAAAATCAAGAAACCAAAATGACAGAAGAGGAATTTCAAATGTGGAACATAAGAAAATTGAATGACCTGCAAGAACAACTGGATAACCAACACAATGAAAACACAAAAAGACTCCAGGACCCAGAACAAAAATTCACTAAAGAAATCGATACGATGAAGAAAAGTATAAACGAACTCCTAGAAATGAAGAATCAATTCAGGGAACTACAAAATACAGTGGAAAGCCTCAAGAACAGGGTAGACCAAACAGAAGAAAGAATATCAGAGACTGAAGATAACACCCTCCAATTAAATAAATCAGTCACAGAGATAGAGCACAGAAACAAGAGAAAAGAGCAAACCCTACAAGAGATGTGGGATTATGTGAAGAAACCTAATGTGAGGGTCATAGGGTTACCAGAAGGGGAAGAGACAACACTCAAGGGTTGGACAAGCTACTTGAAGATATAATAGAGGAAAATTTCCCAGGCTTTGCTAAAAATCTCGATATACAAGTTGAAGAAACTCAGAGGACTCCTGGGAGATTCAATGCAAACAGGAAGACATCACGACATGCAGTCATCAGACTGACCAAAATATCAACTATAGAGGCCCTTCTAAGAGCTGTTAGGTGAAGGAAGCAAGTAACATACAGAGGAAAGCCAATCCGAAGAAGACCAGACTTCTCTACTTAGACTTTACAAGCAAGGAGAGACTGGGGCCCCATTCTTACTCTTCTGAAACAGAACAATGACCAGCCTAGAATCTTATTCCCAGCAAAACTAAGTTTTGTATATGAAGAAGAAATCAATACATTCCCAGATAAGTAAAGTCTGAGGGAATTCACCAAGATAAGACCAGCCCTTCATGAAGTACTCAAAACGGTGTTAACCACGGATCAGCACAATAAACACTCACGAATGTAAATCTACTCAAAGCTAAAGATCAAAGCCCGAATACCACAATGGCTCAAGAGAGAAAACAAAGCAACAAAGTTCAACCCAAAATTATGAATAGAAATCTGCCCCACCTATCAGTTATCTCAATAAATGTGAATGCCTTGAACTCCCCACTCAAGAGACATAGGCTGGCCAAATGGAAAAAA